GAGATTTATTACTGTCAAGAACGTGGTATATGTACAGCTTGTGGAACAAAATACATTACAGCATGAGGGTTTATGGAATGTCGACACTCCACTCATAACAATTGTTTCTTACGCGGCTTACATGTAGGCCTACTCCTGATGTTACATAAGCAGTAAAAACAGTTACTGCATCAGCCTGGTAAACTCTAGGATACGACGTACAGTCAACTATAATGATGTTTACATGTACAAGTATAGTGCTTCGATTGGGTCGAGGATTATATCTAAAATATAACACAGTTAGATATGTTATTATTGTGAAATCTAACGATGTGATACTTAATGACGGATCTGATTTGGAAAAAAGTTTATATAAGGACACCATTGCATGCAATTTATTTTATAATATGTACTATCAACAGTAACTGTACGAGCTATCCCGTTTTTTTAATCTTGGGGATGAGCCGAATAATATTCCTGTATTTCATTCAAGATGCTTAGAACAATTAACATTGTAAATAGAAATTAGGAAGTTATGTATATAAGCGCTTTGCATCTCTTGTCCCGTTATTTTTTTTTCAGCCATCTCATTAGATTTTGGAATAGAATCCGCATGTAAAAGAGGTAAAAAATTACTGCAAAATAGTTACTGCTAACGGCCAATTTACGGATGTGGATATTTTTTCAGTTCAGTTCTTAAGTACTGTAAAAGTAAGGTAAAAACAAGCGTTCATTAACATCGTGGATTCACTTTATTACTTCACGTTTCTGATACGGATGTTGATCAGTTAAATTTGTATTTGTAGAGACGTCACAATGAGTGTTTTTTTTTTCATTTTTTTATTATAAATGTATGTGAGCAATTAGTGGTCAGTTGCTCCAGACAAAATTGACACGTTCTTTGACGAACATGGAAGTCGCCAATTTTGAAGAAATCAAGATGTTTTGTATCTTTCTTTTTGGCATCTGACCCCAAGAAACCCCGAGATATTAATTCTTATGTTCCAAAATTGCCCGCATGGTGAAATTAAATTAAAATGATCTCCGAACATCAGACCCAAAATTTAGCTGTTACCTGCTATACCCGTTAAACAAAATTATAATCCGCCCTCCTACTCAGTTCACAGAGAGCCTCCGCTCGTTAACCAACTTGTCAATTTTGTCTGGCGAGCAAACTTTTTATTCATCATGTTTATGTATTTTTCTGTAAGTTGTTTTCGATGTCTTCTTTAAAAAAATGACTGTAGTCGTAACATCGACTGATTTGCAAATTTTATTGCTCATAAAATAATATGTGGTTATTTTGCATTAAAATGTGAAGTATTAGCTTCCGTTCTCATTGTCAATAAATGAGTAACCCTTTTTAGTTGGTGTATTTAAAGTGTGAATAAATGCTTAAAATGCTTATTTATGTGTTGTGAGTGTTTGTAACAATACTAGTCCAACCACTTTTCTGAACCGTACCAGTTTTGGCAAACATCTGAAGAATGCCTTTGGAATTGAATAGCATACTTCAGAAGTTGACAAAAGTTGGTAGCGAATTTTAGAAACGCAAATGCGATCTCTTAGCTTACTCCAATTTACTCTTTTTACCAATGCAAAATCCATTTAATATCTTTTGTAACAATAAAGAGAAGATCCAACTCATAACTTTGGATAATGGGTAAATAGATGGATCAGTAACGTTGCTTTTCGGGAACAAAATGTTGAGGGGATCGAGTCCCCCATGGAGTGACATTTTATCAAAATATAAAAACAAATAATGTCCCAAACTATAAAGAGAAAATCCAAGTTTTAGGGAGGGTGGTTGGGGGAATAGAGGAATCGGTAACGTGCTAGACTGAGAACCACAAGATGACAGGATCGAGTCCCAGAAATCCTATATTTTAAATTTTATTTTGTGAAGTAATAAAAGAGCGTTACACTCAGATAGCAATAAAGGTTTGTTCCGAAGCACGCGCGGTTCTCTGTTGCAATAGCTCAGTCGGTATGACAGCCGACTCCAAACGCATAAGGTAGAGATGAATGGTTCGCAACTCATTAACTGCATGGTCATTTCTTTTTATTTTAATTCGAAGTTGAACAAATGATTTTTTAAAGAAATTCTATCCCAAAAAGCTTAATAAACTCGAACATTTAGATTGCAAATATTGTTTTTGGCTTACTCAAGAACTTATTCAATCACTTGAATAAAATTGATACAGTCTTTCGAACAACAAAGCGTCGGACAAGTATAAATCAGAATACATTTTACACAATGCGGTGGAAAGGTTTTTCTTTTTCTTGCAAATTTCCGCAAGCAATTTTCATTCTACAAAACTACTTGGGCATATCTTCGGATTGCTAAACCAGACAATAAAATGATATTAAGCCATTAATGCTTGCAGTCATCCTTGTGTTCCTCGGGTTGCCTTTCCTTTACTTTCAATCAGAATCATAAATGGACTTAATGATATTAACTTAGAAGTTTCAGTACGTGTGTAACTTCAGCTTACATGGACCGCCAATATTGCTTATTGACGGAAGAAAAGTATGAACGCTTCTCTGGCACAAGTTGTAACGAGGTGTTTTTCGTACAGTTCGTATGTGAATACATCAATTATTTCTCGGTTGAATCCAACATGTGCAGATGAATGAACCTCCAATGAACAGTTTTACTCCAGCTGTGATATTGCCTTGTTGCCAGACAATTACGCATTAGAACTGTTATCGCATCATCCCACAGCAGATATCTCCGTAGTCCTTTGTTTGTGATGGAAGCTGAAATTCAACTGGAAAAAATATCATTTAATTATTATCTTGATAATGTGAATACAATGCCATAATTTATATACATTAGAATGCACTTTGTCATAAATATTAATAATAATCATTAAAAACCACCGGTTGAACAGCGCACACGCCAGTGTACTTACATTTCGATTACACGGTGTCCGTATATCTAAATTATAACCTTCCACTCCTACTACTGTGAGTGGGGCCAGGGCATACTTATACCTGTGTGTCTCGATTTTGAATTCTCCAACATCGGCACGTTCTAGACTGTACTATAAATGCAAGATTTAAAAATCACAGTGACAATGAACAAAAGACGGCGTCCAACATCATCAATCTAAATATGTGCTAGTAAATTCCATTAGACTCGTAGCCAGCAATTTGAAAAAGGGGGCTTATTTTTCTGAAAAAGTGGCCCTTTAACCATGAATAGCCATGTGCCCAGATAAAATTTAACCCAGAGGGCAACTTGCTCATCAAAATAGGGAGGGGTTCATCCCCCCACCCCCACCCCCACTCACCCGAACCCCCCTCCCCTGGCTACGGGTCTGATGTACGGTCTGATTTTGTGTGTAGTGTTGCGGTAATCGAGAAACACAAATGGCCACAAACCAAGCTGTAAACATGACATGAACTTGAACTTACGTGTAAAACGTTATGATATACTGTATGTAGCAACTTTGAGCAGGTTATGCTGAACATGTCCAAACACCCTACGCAACGTCTTCCCATGTCACCACACCACGTGTCGCCATACATGTACAAGTACCGGTAGCCTCCTAAAACATGTCACCAAACACACACCTAGTTGACCTATATCACTGACTGTCAACAATCAGCATCTCTATGGCAATCAGAGAGATAGAAATGACCGTCAAGTAATAGAACCTCCGCTGACAGAGTTTGGAGAGTGAAAACTCGTGTCGTAACAAAGGATCGCCATATTCTTGAACATGTTAAATGTTCCCGTTGTTTTTAAACTCTGCAGCATAAAATCTGACACAGTGCTAATGGCGTGAAGCAGTAGACAACGCTAATTTCCACGCCTCACAAAGACACAAAATAGCCATGGATTGTGTTAGTGAAGACAAATGTAGCTTCTTTGAGTTTATTGAGTGGAATACAGGTGCCATTTTAGATGAGGTAATTGTTTTTTTATTGTAATCATCTTTCTAACTTGAAGTATGATAAAAATGAAATACTTTTTTGTGCTAATTATTTACCTCAAATTTCAAAAAAAAATTCGGCCATAAGGTAATGTTAAAATTAGTTTTTACTGATTTGGATCATCCAAGTTATATTGGTTACATGTAGTGTTTTTGTATTACTAAAAATGCATTATCTTGTTTTTGTAAAACATAATAAGCCACATGGCGTTTAAGCAGACCTTTTCCACGAGCAGACCAAGTGTATTTTGAAATCTGACACCGGTTTAAGACCAAACAAACAATACGAATATTACATAAAAATTTAAGTTTTAATTTCACAATTCTTCTAAAAATGGCAGCCAATGGAAAATAGATATGAACTTTCTGACAAATGGACTAAAAACACAAATGATGAGATTGTTTTTATTTATTTCAGTGATAGTTGGAGGTACTATTATACTAGTACTTCGTTAGAAGGACCCGCCTCAAAACGATTAGAAAAAAGGCTTAAATTAGATATAATATTGTAAGTGATTACCCTTTGTAATTCCGAAAGTAATAGATATGTAAATATTACATATATACCCGCCTGAAATAAGGTAATTATCTCTTTTCCAATAAAACGAACAAACAACGTTTACATTTAGCTTAACACACGGGATGCTTTGGTAACATACCGGCGAATTTAAAACATAAATACATTAAATATATCAAAGGCAACAATTTTCGAACTGTATTTCAGCACTTGTGTCCTGAAATACATCTGTATAAAAAAGTAAATAAATACAAATACATCCATTCAGATCTAGTGCTCATTTTCATTCCTTAGTTCTCCGATAGATGGCATTAGAATTAGCAAAAAAGATGAACAAGTACTACAGTAACTATTTCGTGATTTAAAAATCAACGGATAAAATTAACAAATATAAAAAAGACCCACGAATCACAAAGAAAAGGTTCAACAACTTGTTGGAATAACTCCTCCCTAACGAAAAAGTCCTGTAGGATCCTATAAGATCCTATAGGATCCTATAGGAAATTGGGCCAATTTTCTAAAGGGTCCTATAGGATCTTATAGGATCCTATAGGACCTTTTCGTAAGGGCTTCAATATGATTTCATACTAGTATCTTCACGTCTATCTCATCGGAGCCTTGAAGAAGTGGTTCAGACTCTGGTAAATGATTTGGAAGTGAAGAACTAATCCTTGCATCGTTTGAACCATTAAATGAAAACGTCAATCCATTGTCCGAATCACTTTCGGTCATTTGTAAAACGACATCGTCATTTCTAGGGCTATCGAAAGAATTATCTACATCCGGGTCACTTAGTAACTTGTCAGTTTCACATGGTTCGATTTCTTCCTCCATCTCCACAAGAACACTATTCATTCGTTTTTGTTTTCCTAGGTGATTATTTGAAATGGAGTTGGTAGAAACGCGATGGGGGTTATTCCCTTTAAAGTTCTCTTTCACAATATCCACGCTAGGAAGATGACTATGCTGCTGGGGCCCCGGCAGGGAGTTCCGTTTTTCAGACCCCTTGAAGTCCATCATCATTTCCATTGACAGATCACGTGCGTTTGACGTCGCTGGCAAACTCGTCGTCCTCCGGATAGGTTCGGCCTTTTCCGTTACCGCCGCTTCCTCGGCCATTGAGGACTCGGATCCGTTATGAACTAGCGTCACTCTCTTTTTGTATCTGGGTCCTAAATCCGACAAATGTTTTTGCATTGGTCTTTTGGGATTCCTCCCTGGGTTGCCATGGTGGTTTTGAACTGTTAACCTGTCTTTAGTCTGCTTATCTTTATCGACTAAAATTGACTTGAGCTTAACCTCGCCGTTAGATGTCGCCCCGTTCCGTGTCGGGGGTGACCGTGGGGAGGGCGGGGGTGCGGGAGGGACAGGGCGCGGGCTGTTTGGAGAGGGGCATCCTCCGCATGACGGCTTTCCTTGCTGACACGTCCTGTCGCTTTCGTACATCTCTATGAGTTGGTCCAGTTTAGATTCTATATCATCAACCTAGAGAATTCAAACACAAAAGTACATGTAAATCAGTCGTGGAAGTTTTAATTTACTTTACTAACATTTATTAGCCATAAACAATTGTTGGACCGTGTGCTATTAAAGATAGAATGTACAATTTTATATAAATGATGAAAATAAAAAACATTTTATTTATAACTGATACGAACCTGTTTGTTAAACGAAATTAAAATTTAAAAACTTGAAAAATAACGAATTAAACAGCGTTAATATATCACATACATGTAGTAACACCCAAACTCATGTGACGCCACATATGGCTTAATACTAAATTTAACGTTTCAATTTCCATATTGTATTTTATGTTAATAAAAATAATAATAAACTTTATTCAAAGAGGGTAAAATATGTTACGTGAATACATTTATTTTACACATGGCCTTGTGTTAATTATTTGATAACCAGGATCCATAATAAGTTAAGGATAAAAAGAAACACATCTTCTGAAAATTAACTATTAATTGACTTATGTTCCGGTCTTTCGTGCAACCAATAAATGGACAATTTAATACTCAATTATTACATTATCTTATATTATTCATATAGCATAGCATACCTGTCTCTCTATTTTAACAACCCTGGAGGCCAAACTAAACTTGGATTCATAAACGTCCTTTGCCTTTGATCCCTGCTTGCCGAGTATAGTGTCTAATCTGGAAGACGTAAACGATTGAGAAAATGAAACAGTCTACTTACGAGGTTTTTAACCATTGTCTCTTGTAGAACTGAAGAAAACACATAACGCAATGTCATATCTGATGTTGTCACTGTTAGCCGCTAGGCTTGGCCCTAAATGATGTTATGGACCAGCGTCATTATCTTATGACCCTTGTTTTAAAATGTGCATCACGGTGACTTTCCACAACGTCTTTGACTTTTCTGACGTTTCACATATTTAGCAAAAGACTTCTGAAATTCTGAGCTGGACCAACATCTTTGTCAATGTGTTAGGTTGATATCCAGTGAACACTGTCTCACCTATCGCAATGGCCACCTACCTTCCCTGCAGAGTTTTGATCCTGCCCAGCATGTCGGCGTGTCCCACCGAATACTGCTCGATGACATCCTTGACGTCATACGGCCTGAGCGCCTCTTTGAACTTCCGCCTGGCGACGAAGTATTTGATTTTCCGGATAGCACGGATGGCGCGTTTGTGGACTTCTGTCAACTCGGTGATTTGTCCCGTGCTTTCTAATAAATCCTCTGAAATATGGGAATGAAATAAGAATTCAATGTCATTTCTGTAAGATATTTTTCTTTTAATTCAGCCATATGGGAATGATGTTAGAATTTTAGAAAAAAGTTAAGCAAGCTCTCTCTTGGTTTTCATTCCAATAAAAGTACTTCTTTTCATTCAGCCATATGGGAATGATATTAGAATTTTAGAAAAAAAGTTTAGCAAGCTATCTCTTGATTTTTATTTCCTGCAAAAGTACTTTTTAATTAAGATAAGACAATTTTTCTCTCAATCTCGGTCGATACTTCGTACAGGTAATTACACTTCCCTTAGCTACGTTTAATCTTCGCAATAACAGAGAAAGGGGAAATAACGTATCCGACGCCTGTTTATTGCATTGTCTTCAAAACATATTGTGTGCGTGTGTGCTGGGGGGGGGGGGGGGGGGGGGCGAACAGGTAAGTTCTTTCCAGTAATAATATATGAAACGACCCTAAATTCTAAATTACATTTTTCCGTATTAGTGTAAAGCCTACACCTGTGTGACATGAATGGTAGTCCTAGGAATGGAAGTGCAGGGTCCCATATGATAAGTTAAGGTTAGGGTTAGTCGGAGTATTGGGAGTGCAGTATATGGGACGAATGTTGCCTGTAAAAAGTAACGGGGAACGGGCTACGGTTCCTAGCGGACTGCCATTTCTGTCACACATGCCTTGCGACCGCTTGAAAGACGAATTTTAAACCGCTCTCTTGAGAGGTCGTAATCCCACTGTAACAGGGAATCAAAATAATGGTTTAAATGTAATCCCTACCGTCAGATTCTTTCCTTGTCATCGTGTTTTCTCTGCTTAGGACGTTGTCACCGACTGTCAAGCTAATGTGGCTCCTAGAAAACGAAAGACGATGAGTCTACAATAAAACACAAACTGAAGAAATCCAGACGGCCCGACCTCTACGTTAACGTCCTGCCGATAGATGGCACGTGTGGCGGATATGGATAATTGAATTAGAGACAGATTTCTTTTTCAGTTTTACAGGGGAATTATTTTCTTCTCTGATGGTTGACAAAAGCACGAAATATCGGATAGCAATAGTCTTAACTCTTTAAGTAAGAGTGACATCCCTGAAAGGATCGAATAACGTCGCCATTCACGCCCCTTCTATTGACGAGATGGTTAAAGTTGAGGTGGAAAGTTCTGGATTAAATCAAATAAAAAATAACAGGTGTTTTGTGCTAAGTTATAACGCATCATCAAAATATACAGTTTATGCGCTAAACATCGTTTGTATGTTACTGTTAAATAAAAAGCAAGATGGCGAGCTTTATGCAGATACATGTGTCTTTCAATTACTGTATAGAATAAGCGAATATAGAACGTTAATATATAGCTGAATCTAATAAGCGAGTGCAGCAGTATATAGATTACATTTGAGATTATATTAAGACTACTACAAAAAAGCTGATGCTATATGTATTCATTTACACATACTTGTGCATAGCAATAATAATGTGCAGTCATTTTATATGAATGGAACTCTATACTACTTCCTAAAATATCTATTTCGTGCACTCAAGTCTATGTATTTTGGTATCTAGGCAAAACTGTGCAAACCACCACAAAACCAAGAGAGCTTTAATCAGTAGATGGATTGGTAATGCATTCCAGAGGATGGAAAATCACGCAGAGTAAAAGAACCGACCCCCATTTTTCACACCTTCCAGATAATTTAATAGCGATTATAATCTGAATCATTCAATAAAATTAGTTTAGGTTATTTTCAGTTCGTAGGATAAGAGCTGTACTGTATTATTGAAATTGTGTCTACCTTGGGGCATAATGAAACAAAAAGTCAAATTAATACACGATCTTTTCTTCCCAATACCAAACCATTACTTCTATACTACACTGTAGACAGTAAATGCCCTCTTCAGTATGGATAAGGTGATGTAATGTGAACCAAGGTACCCGGTCCATGTTCCATGTAATGCTGCGACCACACACTCCCGCTAATGTATCACAGGATATTGCCTAACGCCATCCAACATCATATTCGCCTATTTTCCTCCGACTTTTCCCTCTCCGACGGATTCATTTTTTAAATTTATTAAAGTGAGTTTATATCACACACTTAAAAGCTTAAGAGAACAACAAATGTGAAAAAAATGAATTTCAGAGAATTGTCACCAAATTACTTAGTATCCTGTTTTCTTATTTTTCAGTCCAACCCAGGTGACATTTCAAAGGATGAAGTGAGAGCAGAGCCACGACAGCAGCTGAGAGCTGGAGGTAAGCACTCGATTATAACGTAGATTTCTTCCGACTCTTAAACTGTATACCCTTACCCATAGCTGTCGGTATAGCTAAGAAACCCCTTTCTAACCAATCTAGATAATGTGGAACGAGTTAGATACCGTTATTGTAGCAAAAGAAAGTCCAATCCGCATTAGAATGAGTCCTCGCATTATTTCGTTAAAAACATGCGGACTGGACTCGATAGTACCCAAGCAGTAGAAGCAAGTCCAATATCGCATCATAGAGAGGTTTCATACTAACCTATCTGGATCGTTGGGGTTGGACTCGTTGTCGCGAGTCGTGAAAGCGCGGAGCATGTTAGAGAAAAAGAAGAGAACTAGGCATATATATCGGCGAATTGAAGAAGTAGTGTACGTGCAAATATAACTGATAAAACAAGCATCAGTGTACAGGCATATGTGTTAGAAAAGAAGAAAAGACATGGCAGTGCGTATTTCGATACAAATCTTTCTCAGACATTAAGAGTAAGATAATTTAAGTAGGAAATCAGACAAAGAATATGTTACACTTTATATTTTACACGTGCGCCACTGGTTTACAATACATTTCATACACGTGTCACAGACTGATCAACGTCATCAAGAAAAAACGAGTGGAAGGGAAAGATTGTCACCTTTCCAAAAGATGATCTACATGTAAGCGAAATAAAATTGAAAATGAACCTATAGCCATAATGGAATTTGATTTTTAGGAGGGGGGTTACTGGATATAAGGTGCTATATCGTTTTAGAAAAGTGGGGACGGTACCCTCGACCCGCTTTACTCATCTAGATCCGTCTGTGCACGCCATGCTGGATGTTTCAGTTGATTTTAATGTACACTGATTAGTTCTCATGACACAACAATGAACGTAAGAGAAACAATCACATGACCGTGATAACATTTTGTAATTCATAAATTTATTTCCAACACATACGCTTTCTCGTACAGTTGTATTAAATAATGGCGGAACCAGATTGTCCAGAAGAACGAGGCTCCCCCAAACGGTAATTTAGTATTTTGCCCAAAGCTCTCAAAACTCATTAGTGAATGATATGACACTACCGATACAGTCTTTTCTGTTTTTTTTATATTTATTCACATATTTGCATATTTTGGTGAAAGGAGTGGGTAGTAGGCCAGGTAATACCGGTAGTATACAATTTTGCTGTGTGAAAATTGCAAAAGACCCTCTTTGCATCTGGATCCGCCTGTCGTTATTAGTAATCAAGTTCGCACATGACATCAATAACTGCAAACGTTTGCTGGGCTTCATTTTATTTTAGAAACCGGTTTATTAGTAGACATAGTAGACAGACATCTAGGGTCAGCTCATGCGTTGGTTTAATGTTAAAAACATGAGGGACTTAGATTTAAACCGTTTATTGTAGGCAGGCTATGTTCCTTGACGCGGCTTTCGGGTTGATGTTGCTCACTTAATACTTTCTTTCAAATGAAACCCTGTGATGTCACCTCATACTAAATCACTGTATAGCAACAATTATACTTATGACATCATATGTTTGTATAAAACGCTGTTCAAGTTACGAAAAATGGAATCTTTCAAATGAAATCTGGGGTCAGTAGAAAATCTATGTTATTTCGCTCAAAAAACCTTGTTAAGAAGTGGCGAAAAACATACGAGTTTGACAGAAGTTGCGAGCGAACAAATTACACAAATTTAAAAGAAGGACAGAGGAAACCCGCATACGCGACTTAAATAACACATACACACATATTTATACCGGGTTTGAAATCTCAATACAAATAGAAATAAGTTAGAATAAAGTTATATTAATAAAAAAAGTGACACAGGCGCCAGGAAGAGACAATAGAAAAAAATAGCAATTATCTAGGTAAAGTAAAAGCAAGCATATACCGCTTCAATCGAGGGATAAAAGACAAAACTGTACACAGTAACATTTACATCCAGCCATGTTGCACGACCCTTTTTAGAGACTTAATGGTAAAGCAACGCACACATTAAATATTGACCTAAATGTTACGCTGCCTTTCAGCACTTCATCAAAGAGGGCCAATACATTTGAATGCGTTTGAAATCTAAGATCAAAGTAATGAAACAGTATCAAATATACATGTATTATTACCCTGGCAAGATCACCCATTACTATCAAAAGAGATAAAGGGACGCTATTGGAATGATAATCGAGGACAACTTTCCAGGAATCAGGCACAATTAACAGCGCGATTTATCATAAAAAGACCTAACTGAAATGCGGTTACGACCATAGACGCAGTGAGCTAATTCTATTCTCTTTGATCTAAATGGTTTCATTTAGGATAAGGTTCCTATAGATTGTGTAGCGTCGTACTTAACGTCTATGCCAGAGTTTCAACACGCTTAATACTTGCTCTGATAACTATCGATATTTGCCGTTTTCAAAGTTCCCTTGTCCAGACGTTTCTTGATAACTAACCACCGATAATGTGATTAGGAATGACCCAAACTCATCCACCAAACAGTTAATAGAACGGTCAAAATTTATATACTACATAAAACTGGTTATATCAATTTCCTATGTTCTTACGATATTTGGGGTCTTTACTGAGATTTCCAACAGTCTTTAGTATCATGCTGCCTTCTAATTCCCACCAAGTGTCTCCATCTGGCGGAAAATTAACACAAAGTAATCCTTAGGGGAGGTCGGTATATCAAAATAAACGTTCTCATTATTATTACCTGTAGAACTATCAATTTTAGAACTATCCCATTACAATATACCCTTCCATTAGTGCCATGGTAGCATGCACTACAAATTACAATTATTAAACACAAAAGCCAATAAAATAAAATAAAAAACCATTATCACAATATAAGACAACCTCAACAACACATTATTTCAGACCATGCGACATAACAGCATAACACATGTAGGAAGAACTCATGCGGCTATGCAGTAACCATGCAGACACTACAGTAGTGTTGTTAGACGACTTTCCATTCATTCATGGGGTATATAACAGGCATGTGACTCAGTTTTATCTGTAATAGATTTAAAATGCACTCATTTCTGTGATCCCTTTCAACGACCCTGCGAGCGCACTCTTCAGAGACCCGTCTGGGGCCAATGCTGGACCCCAAGGTGGACCTTGCGGTGATTTCCACGTGGGTCCAAATTAGGCGGGTTTACTTGGATTTTATTTAGTAAATGCCGTTTTATTTCCATCTGGAATTGACCCATGGGACTATTTCGTCAAAACCAATAGTGCAACGGCCCCATTGACCAATTTTAGGGGAAAATAGCCAAAAAGTTTGTGTTAACATTAAAATTGAAATAACAGTTTATTTTTACCAGATATAAATCAACAATCGTTCAATCAAATGGAATGTTGCACTGTTTATTCATGTTGAACCAAGAAATAGGTAAGTGGAATTCTCTGGATTTCTCTTGAACTAGGTAGACAACATTTTTGATCTAAAAGTTTAGAAGAATTATGGACAAAATTTTGGGAAATCCTCCATGCTCGTCTACGTGTGCTGTCTGGGAAAATATATTACACGCCCATATTTTTTAAATGTGTGTAGTTAAGAAACACCAAGCATGCGCTGTTACAAGCCCCATGATTCAGTGGTGACGTCACGTTATCAATGACACACAAACTGCACCAATTTCACCCCACGTAATGCTCAGGGGTATATATCCTTTGGCCAATCTTTGACCACGGTCAGCTGGCTTTACGGTTCACTTCAAAGGTTTCTTTCTTAACTAGTGGCTGATTGTAAATGTACCATCCACAAGATACACTTTTCTACATTGTTGAACACCTTTATATGCAAATTGAACATCTTTGATTTACCAAGATGTGCCAGTGCCTAATTTGTGAACTCAAATGATAGGAACTGCATAGCCCTTGAGCATTATATCAGCATCAAATCACTCTCTCTCTCTTTTCAGATCAATAAAATCAATAAACACACGTGTTAATAAACATTGTGTCAATGAATCTGTCAAGTTAAATTTCACTAACAGCAATTTAGTATTCTGTGAGAAGGTTTGACAGAAAAAAAGGATTCACCAAAGAACACATGCACAAGACCACCCCCGGTATATGCCTTACCAAGTCCTGTTTATTAGACTGTATAGCGAGAACGGAAATAGGACCAATGTTACTACTCAGAATATAATTACTGATTACAATAGTTGTCAAAAAGCATGACGCAAAAAGATTACAATATCGTCAGATAAAGTGCAATCCTGAAATGTGAAAAGCTGGCTTAACGTAAGCGTGCCAATATAGCCTGGTGTTCTACACTTTGTTTCGAATCTAGCGATTTGCTGAGATCATGTCAAAAGCTGTGCATAACAATATATATGCATAATTATTTGTTTCCACAAAATATGTACATTTGACAATAACAATGCTTATACAATATTGTCCTACTTTACCTGACAAGACAAACTAATGAACGCGACCAAAAGCATATCAGTCTTGCCTTGTTGGTAGTTTTTCGAATACTAAAGCAGCAAAGAACAATATAAATGTTACTGTATAAATATAGAATTTACCTTTACCTGTACAGTATATGCATATAACCGTACATACAGACAAAAACGAAAGTGAAAGTGGCTTCTCCTACCTGTTTAAAGCCTCCGTGGAGTCGTTTTCCCTGTCACTATTTCTGAGTTTAAAACTGAAGTGTCTGGAGATCAACGGTGACGGGTTGGGTGACGTAGGACTCTGGGAACGATGGAGGATGGGGCGCTCGCTTTGACTGCGGTCCTTTCGGCGTATTGTTGACAGCCGACTTACAAAAGACGACTTTTCCCTGATAAAACAGTAGGTGGCGTATACACATACGATACAAAAGATCTTTGCAGCAATTTCGAATACATAATGGAGTGCATTAATATTATGGGTATATACGGTTCAATATTCATACTTTGATTTTAAACAAAGACTAAGATGACAAGAGGGAAATTTTAGAAGATCATATTAATCTAAAAAAAATAGTATACAGGTTTCATATTCCGAATAATTACACCGTTATAGTTAGGTAAGAATAATAGTACTACATGCACACCCTTAAAATGATCAGATCAATAGTCAAGCGAAAGATAAAGTGCCAATGGTAAAACTTAACACATTTATACCTGTTAAAGTGAATATTTAATCAAATTAATTAACACTTAATTATTGGCAAATCATGTTCAATAAAAAAATACGATTTCCAAAAAAAAATAACAGTGCTGCAACGCATAGTTTAATAATATGAAAAAGTTCTCTCTTTTTTGAAAATGCAAAGGCGTCTGGCAAAGCTGCAAATCAAACTATCTAACTTTCCCAAACTGAGTTCAAGCTCGAAAAGCAAACACCGCTATAGGCTGAAATAAAATTAGTTGAAAATACACTCGGCCAAATACAATCGGAAAATGTTATTTTGAATAATTATTAAATAACCATATGAGTTAAGTATTTAACCGAATATTGAGTAATAATGCATCCACCATTCTTTACTTTTTTATATACACTGAATATTTTCCCAATAATTAACATAGTTTTTTTTTAATTGAAAAAAATAATTGCATGATTCCAACCTATTTTGGTCGAATGTATGTATGTTAACTGATTGAACTGTTAGGTGTTTAATTAAAATACGCAGCTGGAAATAAATGCCATGTCGCAAAACTTGCTTTCAAAGAATGTATCCAAACGGTGTATCAATAACCAATGAAAATGGCATAAGAATAAATAACTGGAAACAATCCCGATAAAGCACACATGCAAACTATAATAAATATAGAACAGACATAGAAAAGATTGTAATACAGATTTGACAGGGAAGGCGTCAGGAAGGGTCAGTCTCAATATCAGATAGAAAGTGGAGGATTAATTCTTTGGGGAAGAAGAAGCGGCGGGAAGGTGGTGGGATGTTGAAACACGGACAACAATAAGAAGGGCAAAGACATAAAGCAAAATGGCGTCAGTGCCAGGGATGCTCTAGATACGAAACGGAACCAAGAACCAGGAATCAAAACCGGAAGCTAGAACAATGACGCCACACCAACGGCATCCGCATCATGACTCTACAGTTACTACTGACAACGAACATACGCCTGGGGGCTTGGCGGTTTCGGGGGTTCCACGTTGACTTTCCAAGTCGCCAACGAACAAGAACTCTCGTCGGCAGCGTAGCACCGCCAAATACTTTGTATCAGGAAGGCTGCGGGGATCCGTCTCCGGATTTGGTGCTTCTGGCGCTGTTGCTCGTGCACCTTGAGAGCAAAGCCGGAACCTAAGATGCCCTACGAGAGAGAAAGTGGCAGAAATGCAGAGCAAGCGACAAACGAATATGAAACGGTGGATGATAAGCGTGACTATAGTTATATGCGGTGATCACAACACTTATGATAAAAAGATGTATATTATAATAGATCCACTGCCGGGCGTGATGGCTGCTTCTAAGCCGGTACCTGGAAAACCTACAACAAGCAAGCGTGGTTACGTAATATGTATATATGTGTAGAGAGAGCGACTGAGTAGAGGCAATAGCGCTGATTGGGGACCCTCTTTCTATTTAATATGTGAAAGCTGATAAAGACCTCTTACGTATTCAGGTTTTTAACCAAAAATGTAATTTTACTAATAAAGTTATTTTTACTGTGCTATTTTAAGCATCGGAAAGATATGTTTGCCCACACCTAATAAAATGTTAATTTACTTATGAATATTAGAAAGAAAACAATGTTAATTTACTCATGAATATTATAAAGAAAACATTTAGCACTTCCAAGAACATCAGCATTCACATATCATACGGATAGAGGGCCCCTATACGAGTAGCAAAGCAAAAGCACGACCGAGGCTAGGTCAGGGTCATATACGCATCACTGCAAGGTCAAGGTCATATTAGATGAGGTCAAGGTCACTACTTGCATCACTTCAAGCCACTTCTAAATGTGCGAAGTAGCCAAAGGGCTATTGCTTTCAATTTTTCTATTGCCCGCTTTAGAATGTCTACATACGAGATGGGGCTAGGATGGGGTCGTAGGTGGATCTTCCAGGTGGCTTGGGAAGTGGAGTGCTCGTCTGCTGCATAGCACCGCCATACTGCCTGAATCAGAACCGAGGCTGGGATCTGTCGTCTGCTGTGGTGCTTCTGTCTCTGCTGTTCGTGCACTTTCAAAGCAAATCCTGAACCTAGAATACCCTGTGTTAAACCAGAAATGTGAGTTCGTGAACTTTCACAGCGGTTATTTTTATTTATATATATAAGTTCTGTGTGACTTAGAAAGAGTTTGTAATTTTCGAGAGATATGCAATAAAATGGTAGCCCATACGCACGCGCTTACGACCATGACTTCGGCGCACACAGTCGTCCCAGAAATATCATTATCGCTGTATGAAATCCAACAGAATCACCAAATATTTATCTGTACAGCTAAATAGTTTTATAGCGCGCACCCTTTATAGGTTAACACTGTTGTATATAAAAAAAACAGTAGCCGAATACACGAATGTGTTGGTAATCTGATAAAACGCACTGATTGTGCCTTATTCCTCGATAAATGCAATCGTTGAATAATTATGAATGTGATGACAACTGGAAATACGAGGAATTAACACAGAGAGCCATTGTTTGCCATCAGCAACACAGTTATAAATATTATTAAAGGAAATCAATGATATATGCAGGCACGTGTAGCTGAACACGTCATCGATATACATGTATGATGAGGACAATACTCGCGTTATCAGGATTCGTGAGTACATGGAGGACAGTATGTGCTCGTTTATACATTTAAGTGCACACATTACGCTTTAAATAATAAAAAGAAATATGGAAATGTCATCATTTCCAGTAATCCCAAGGTACGTACAGCATATTCAATATCATTGACAATTTGCGATCTTTTAACTCGATTTTCCAGAAATACCATCCCACACTTGAAACTGTCCCTAACTCCCATTTCTGTCTTAACATCCGTCATAATTACAGGAACAGGAATTGTTCTTAAGTATATATATAGGCCGGGTGCTCACAGTATGTCTTTATAACAACTTTAATGCGACGGTATCATAGTATAGTGCATTGATTTTAGAAAAGGCGCCTCCATTATTTCAAATGTGTAATATAAGGGAAAGGAATATGACACACCATCTCTATCAAATTTAAAAACCTTTTCAGAATAACAAACCGTATTTGGTAAAAAAAACACGCTTCCAACATGAACATCGGATAACGATGCGTTTACTTTCAAGCTCCATATAATATGACCAAATTTAAAAAATAATCTACGGCTTTATATAACATGGGTCATATGCTTGGCATATAAGACCCCATTCCTGTACCTAGATCGATCTAGCAGGATCGACCCATCTCCGAGGGGATTCTCGCTAAATTGCATTCAGAATAAGCGGCTTAGATGCATGGCACGCCTACTGAAGCTGCTAAACGATAGTTAATTACCCCCTAACAGCTTCAGTAGGTCTAATACACATCAGAGCTGCTTAAGCTGAATGTAATTTAGCGAGAAACCCCTCGGATATGGGTCGATCCTGCTAGATCGATCTAGGTGTAAGAATGGGATCTAAATATGTTTATTGGAGTTCTATACTCACTGCAGGTAAGGCAAAGAACGCTATTCCACTCATGGCGCACACGGCCGCTATTAATTTCCCCGCCCAGGACTCTGGAACCGTGTCACCGTACCCTACCGTGCATAGTGTGATCTGGAAAAAAAAGACATAATAACCAACAGGCCTTATAAACGGATTAGGCGTTTACTTACACTACCCGTAAATTCTTTTAGCAGTAACGTCCATAGAAATAACAAAACCCACGAATTAACCAACGCACCGTACTATTATTTCGCACCAACAAATCGATACCTAGTACTAACATTCCTCCGCTCTGGTAGTGCCGGTTAATTTGTGGGTCATGTAGTTAACATGGGTGTTAATGCTAAAAGATATGCGGGTAGTGTTAGTAAACGCTTAATCCGTTTATAAGGCCTGATCAAGGCAATTAGGCATATTTACTGCGGAATGTAATCCATATGTCTATCAACTCTACCGTTTTGTATGTCCACCAGTGTAGTACATACATTACATTTATATTGTGCTTGGTATAAAAACTAATGAGAACATTTACGGTATGGAGGATATTGAAACTATTTGCAGGATATTGAAGCGTCCATATTTACCCTTGATTCAGATTTCATTAATTTACGTTGCTTTGTAGGGTATGTAGGTAAATAATGAAGATGGATAATAATAATGATAGATAGATAGATAGATACTTGCGTAGGCCCCCTATATATCATATAACAATTATTTTAGTATTTTCCGTTTTTATAGTCTCTTAGTCAAGCATACAATCCTATGTTGATCATGAAAAACCTTCTTCACAACACTTCTTATGCACTTGTGCATAGTGCCAAAAATCGTCAGTGTAATCACGTGACTTACCACAGCCCACCAGAGGGCGTTTGCATAGGTTTCAAACTTTGGATTGTTGTCTTTTTCCACGAGATATACAAAGAAGGCGGAGAATATCAGGACCAACACGGCGATGTATAGAGTCGTTATCAGTTCCTAGAAAGAAAAAAAAGAGTCAACTTAAGTTTCAATGTTGATATACTGGTACATTTCTGAGAAAAGGTTGAGAAAATGCCAGACAAACTCTGTCGGGCCTAGGAAATCTAAGGAGAGAGATAATACGATCTCTTCAACATACTGTCATGAATATTTTACAAGGTGTGGTACGTATGGGACATATTTATTCTTCTGTAAGCCCGATGTCCTGAGGCCTTTTTTCTTGGCAAGAGACGAAGGGGGGTTTCATCTCCGCCTCCTGCATACAAACGGCCATGATGAAAATAATGAAGAGCATTAATATCGCCATGGCAACCGGTATAGTCTCTGATCGGCCCAACTATTCCACAGCCACACTGTATGCCAAGCAATTGTGGAGTGGTATGCCACGGTTGTGATTCAAATACAGGTACGTGTAGGCTGGCAAGCCGCCTGGGACATTTGCCAATTGGAACCAACTGTGGATACGAGATTGTTAAAATATATAGCTTTGTCTACTGGTACTTTGAACAGGCATGTAAGCGTATAGCAAACCCGTACGTATCACATATTATATAACTTTTATATGTTTTGTTCGTGTTATATCAAGTCATGTAGCTGCAAATAAGTTTATATGTAATAATGAAGGAAACCAATCCATGTTGCTGCGGTTTGTACTTAATTTAATTACAAAGCAATTTAACACCAGACACATACACACACATACAACTTATGGGCACACTGCAAACTGATAACTTACGTGTAATTATAATGGCATACATATAGGTAACATTCATACTGCATTACGAAGAAATAAGTGTAGTCCTTTTGCTTTATAAAAACAGGTTTAAGCCCAATGTATTGATTTGCTAACTAATATATCAGTCTCATACCATACAGTATATACAGGTTACAGGTACTAGTACACACACACACACACACACACACACACGCACGCACTTCGAACGCACGTACCGGTATATGAATGCCCACCCGGTTCGTAAGTACGTAGAAGTTTTCCACTAAGTTATTGCTGACTTATTGCAATAACTGACACCATAAGACGGAATCGTAAAACACGTCTATAGTCTCATAACCTTTAGAACAGATAATGGCAAGGATTCCGTAAATTGCATAACACCCATAAAATGTGTGGCAATGCGCCTTGAACGTTATACCTACTGCAGATGCCAAGGACGTAGCATAAAAATTGATGAAAATGAATGGGAGAAAAGACCGTGGTAACTTACGGCAATCGTTATCCGTAGAACGGCGTCCAAACGGTGCAGCAGCGCGCAGAAGGCGTGCCTGGTTTTCCGGTATTGCATTTTACGTCGAAATATGCGAGATGAGCATTTTTACTGAAACCACAATCAAAGACAGCCAACTGAAGGAAAAAAAGACCAATAGTTTCTTGCAAAGTGACCTTTACGTCTTGCCGGAGACTAGATACTGCTACGTGCGTCATGGAGGTCAAGGGTGACGCTTCCTTCAAGGAGGAAACGCGCGTTCCGTTTAGAACTCTCTGGTATTCCGGTACTCTATCATTTAGAGCGTCTCGTTGTTGCGCAACGTAATGAGAAAATTGTAATAATCTTTCTCGTATTTTGAAAGCAGCTTTCTCGGGTCTTAGACAGGTGGTGAGTTTTAATGCAGTTGTAGATTAGACCACGGTTAGGAGAAATACTGAGCATTTGTGATCTTATCCGGTTTAGGCAATGCCTCTTCCCGGGAGTGGAAAGTCAGCCACAAGCAGTTGTCAAAACAGAACATGTGTTGCTTTCCCTGACAATAAATAAGAATAATCATAACATCCAACGAAATATTGATGCCAAAAAGATGTCTACAAATGTAAAATGTGCATAACTGTCTGTCAGCCAATATGGCGTCAGCGCCTATATAATAAAACTACTTCACAATATTGCTTGACACTAATGCCTGTCTTTATATCCAACTTGCGTTGAGGAATCTGTTGCGGCCCAATCTCGCGTGACAAAATGAGATTTCCATCTGTCACAGTCAGTTATCAGTAAAGATATAATTTTGATCAAGAAGAACTGAGTTCCTTTATACATCGCTTTGTTGTCTGTGCTTGTTCAGAAGTTCTTCTTAAGACAAAAGGGAAAAGGAGCTTGCCAATGTACGAGCACTGACCTGTTACCCGTTTCACAAAAGAATTTGAGACAGTACCAGTGGTTAACAATTATGTTACCAACGTTACATGATCACGTGCACACACCTTACCCTATCAGGAACAGTGTTACGGCACTTTCACGGACATCCTAGTCAACTAAACCAGCGAAACGACTTTTTTTGTATTTAAACCTGGGACCTGGACTCCTTAAGCTGCATGACCTCCAGTAATTGCTATGTATAATCAGTGCGTGAAGGAACCACGATCCTAAGCCAATTAGTACCGTCTTATAGCGCTGTATAATGACGCGGTGGCTTTATCGTATAAGCACTCGTGGGCGACTTTACCCGAATTAATCAGCACCGGTATTGCTATTGTGCAAAGTTAAACTATTGTAGACGTGTTTACTAAGATATATACTTTCTGGTGTCAGTTCCTTTATATTTTTACGTTCCCATTAATGTAGGGTTGGCTTCATTTGACACTAAAACAGAACAGACAATGGGTTTTCATTCTTGGAAATTGCCTGCAATTAGCCCAGCCATGTGCCAAAATACATGTTTTCTCAGAAACATTGTCTTCGCACGCAAGCAATTAACATATGTTGAAGCATGAACATTGAAAAACCAATCAACGCTTGGCTTTTCCCTGAAAAATATCACTTAAGTAGCGATCAACGTGTTTAAGCGTGACATTTTCTTGTTTTGGGGATACCTAATGAAACAAACCACCCGTCTTTACTTTAATTAATATACCATTTGGAAGATTTGTGGTTTATGTATCTTAAACGTCTTGCATACCAGTATGTATTGAATTATTCTGAATATAACTTCCTGTAACATTTATATCGATAAATAGTTATGGTATATTTTAGTGTATGGTAGTGTCAGCTAGGTGTCGTGTTTTGTTGCAATGCATTGCATTGTATTGTAATAATTTGCATTGCATTGTAATGCACTGTTCTGAATTCTTTTAATGGTTAAAATCGGTGTTGTCTTGTTTCTATTCTATTCTATTCTACATGTATTTAACTCTACATAACGTACATTACATTACACTCCATATACATAGGTGTCTTCCTCACCTGCCTGTGCGCCCAGATCACCGACCCCAGTAGTTTCCAAGTGCTTCCCCGTCTGTCCAGCCTCACCATACGGAGGAGCTGGAAGAACCTCAGCCCTCGCAACACTGACGTGAAAGGGACCCCCGAGGCTCCAATCAGTAATACTGTTACGCTGGCTATAATGCAGAGGACATCTGGAAAACAAAGAATCATGTATTTATGCTGTGTATTTATTTGTTTATTTATTTATCTATGAAGTTAAGGCCATGTCGTGTTTGCACGTCAGGTTTGTCACGGCTTGTTGGGAACAACCTTGTCTAAGTGATCAGCCCACTTACAACGCTTGCTTAGCAGCTCATTTCAAAACCACTCACGTTGATTGTTCTAATGGGTCTTTCGCTATTAAGTCTAGAATGGAACTTGAGAAATTGGTTCGAATAAACTGTTCAATCACGCACTGATAGCTAGGTGAAGGTCTACAGGTATTTTACAAAACACCCAAGGTCAACAAGGGTACATTTTCTTTTGTTTCAGACCATTGACATGACCATTTTGGGCTGTCAGAACATTGATTTTGGGCCTGTGATACGTACATAGTTTACAGTTGATCTGGCAGATCTGTTTTGCAAACCTGTCGTGTATATGGGTGATATAGCAGCTTAAAGCCTTTTGTTTTCGTCGAAAATCATTATTTGATACTTCAGAATCAGTCATACAAGTCGCAGATTATACGTATATGCATACACAAATTGTGTTGTGTCAATTCATAGCTACAGGTAGACAGATTATAAAGGTTGTTTTTTCTTAATTTTATAATCCTTGAGACCGTTACATAAGAACATTCAAATATTTATCATGACATAAACAGCCGTTCCATTCACCTATTACACACAAAGGTCTCCGGGAGAAGCGGAGTCTGCCCTCCAGTCCTTGATAACGAGACCGGCAGCCGGAAGACCACACGCGAAGCACGTATTCAGTTGTGTACCAGAGCACCATGATGAGTTCCTGGAAGACAAATGACTAAAATGAGATTCTCCATAAATAATATATGTGAACGTGTTTGTGTGTGTGTGTGTGTGTGTGTGTGTGTGTGTGTGTTTATGTATGTATGCATGTGTGCGTGCGTTTGTACGTGACAGTGCATGTTGGTGTGTATTGAACTGCAGATGTACCCGAAAGTATGTAGGTAATATTAAAATATGTTGTGCAAAGAAATATCAGACGCGTACCCTATTTGAGAAAAAAAACATGATGTAGCTGTGATAGCTTTTTAGATGATATTGAGTAATACAAGTGATAGCAAACATGTGGTCACTGTGATGAAATAGTATAGGTACATTTAGACATATTACAAGTGTGTCCCGCCACTGTGTGTGTGTGTGTGTGCACTGCATCTGCCACTGGGTAAACTGTTGTTTTTAGTGTGGTTAGAACTGTCCATGCTATAACAAATTTAGCATACGTGGGCTGCTTAACTATATTGGGCGGATAAGACCCCTTCCCTTCTCCTGGGCCACCACTCCGAAATGTACGCCCATCACCATGTAGAAATTACACCCGACAATTGCTTCGTTCCAGTGTTTCATGTCCGACTTTATTTGTCTTGAAAATTTGTTTTGACAAAAAAAACCGCAATAATGTTGCATGTGTCACTTCGGTTTAATGTACAGCAAATAAACAACTGTGTAGGCAAAGGTTGATTGTGATAATTACCTTATCGTGACCCTGGAGACAATAACAGGAGACTATGACCACATATGACTGCGGAACATGAACAAATACTTGGTTTGTTACGACAACATGACGCACGCTACAGCCTTTTCTTGCCAAGTTGAATAAACGCAACGTATATATGCCGTTTGTCCTTAAACACCTTCTCTTATTTTACCGCATTTACTTTCTACTTTGTTTTCTTTTTCTATCTTTTTTTGTTTCTTTTTTATTCCCTCCTTTTTGTTTGTTTTCTTTTTTTCCTTAATTCACTCATTCACTAACTACATGATTCATTCTCTCATTCGTTATTATTCCTTGATTCATTTCTTCTTTCTCCTCTTTCTGTTTTTTTACTGTTACTCTTACTGTCTTCCTCCTTCCTTTTGTCCTTTCATTCATCCATTCATTCACTCATTCACTCACTCATTCACTCATTTATTCCAACATTCTTACCTTGTTCTGCAACCACCCCTATACAGGCAGAGTGCCTTAACTCCACGCGGCATGTCTGCCAGTGCCCTGCAAGATGTACTTACCAAAAAGAACAACAGCTGGCTGATCATGATGCGGTACCTGGGAACAGTTTCAAGGACACTCAACAAGAGGCAGGCTACAACGGTGACAAACCTGGAAGGAGATAAAGAACATTAATGGGTTTTTAATCAATGGCAAGATGGAATGTTCGATTTCGATCGTTTGATTCAAGGGAGAAAATGTTCCTTTAGTGTGAACGTAATGGTTGCCACGGCAAACTGTAACGAATATAACCTTTTTTTCCTGTGGAGAATTGAAAGTTGATAAGTACATTTGCAGCTCATTTACATTTGACAGTCTTTTTTCTCCATGTGAGCATCCTTAATAGATGATCATTTAAACATCTTAAAGGGGTAATAACTCTTCGTATGAGGTCTATATTTCACAATAAAAACATTGTGAATAACTCACAGAAATATAATATATTCTGTTTTATGACAAAAACAGCAGTTACCCTGTATAGCTATTATTCTGATATCTGAGCTTGTCTTCAGACCACGTGACCTCCATTGATGGCTATACCTCCTCCATTGATGGCTATACTCTGTTATAATCTCTTAAGAGATTATAACAAAAAACCAAATTTTTTAGAAAAAAAACAGGGACTAACTTTGAATGTAGAAATGGATTCATTAACCATTGGTAAGTATGGGATAATTGTTGTTTACTCCAGGAAAATTCATTTTTTGGCCAAAACGCAGAGTTGTAATCCCTTTAATATATATCTGTCCAATAGGTTAGTTCATCATTATTCTTTTGTAGTTGTGTTTTTTGAGCTAGCAAAATACGGAACAGCTACCGCAATCTGGCACAACTACAGCAGAACTTAAAGAAACTAACGACGAATCTTGAAGAAAGTGTGCCTGCGGTGTAATAAATATCCATATTTGTCAATGAGATATCTTACAAGACCTGTTAAATAGTTGCTAGGCCTAAAACATGAGTTGCAAGTGAAGTTACGTCACTTCTGCGATAGAACAAATGTCACATTCCCCCTGTTTAACAAGCTATTTGGCTAAAATCAGACGAGCTCAGTACAATAAACATAAAGCTCTGTAACATAGTGTATATCACGGATGATACAATACAACATAAAATGATATTCCCTGACATCATTTGGTGTATGGAAAACTAGGATCTAGGATAGGCACAGGTGTTGATGGATAGTTCAAATGCCAAAAGCAAAAATACTTTGGCGTTCTACCTGCCATGGGTGTTACAATTCTAAGGTGGACTTCATTGCTCTAGAGCTTAGGTTCCGTGGAGATGTATCACAGAATAACCCTGGTATTATAGGGGAGGCAAAGCCAACGCTTTAGATTTGAGTCCGTTCCGTTGATTGCACTCCATCTAGATCAAAATGACTTCCATTTTATTGATTAGACTCCAGTTTTATTAACACATGGTCTTGAATGTGTGTGTGTGTGTGTGTGTGTTTTTGTTTTTTTTTTTCAAATAGACTGTATCAATGTACAGACTAATCGACAGCTGCTATAAATCACACAGGTTTCAAAAGCGGAGTTCAACAACACCCGTAGAGCGTTTAATCAACCTAAATTACCTTACGTTATGAGGAGGCGCTCTTGTAATTATCAACTTGGTGCGAGTGATTAGCGGAAACAGGCAATAGTCTCGCTTTTTTCATCTTATGTTCTGCATATGCACAGCATAAAATCGGAAAGGAAATAAGCTTGACTGAATTTTATGGCGCGGTTGCATGGTCCCCTGAGTTCAATAAGACTCTTTAAATAGCGAATACTGTATGGTTTCTTTCGTGAGTTCATAATGAGGAGAATAAAGGTGTGTTTTTTCATAGTTCGCTTGCTGTCTGTTTTGTTTCCCAAATTAGAAGTCATACCTGTGAACAGTTAACATCTCGAACATTCGTCTACGTGTTTTGATTACGAAAATAACAACTTTAGTCTTTGAGTCAAAGGATTAAAGACTGTGTGCAAAACGATTCGAAGTATTGGCACTAACTATATTTTAGCCCCCAGATATGACTAAATGAGATATGTAAGTTTTCCAGACTAAAGAACAGATTCTTAAAGCCAGTTTTTAACGTACATGTATGACTAACTGATTTAAGACAAATGTCACCCATCGCACGGTACGTTTTCTTAGTAAGCCCTAATAACACCACTTTGCCAATCTGTCCATTTCCAAAGGCCACCTTAATACACATATGGTTTAATGCAATTAGTTCTGAAGCGTTGTCGAACCTTACACTGCTATGTAATATAACATATCTGACGGTTGTACAAGTATCAATGCTGTTTAGATTGTTTAATAGGAATTCTATAATGAAAAGACATCCGAATACGCTAATATGTTCTATTTCACTGTCTTTTCGTTGTGCTATCTTTGCTACTAGATCATAGTGTACTGGAATTTGCTTTCCTCTCTGTCTGTCGACCTCACTAGCAATGGCATTCACGACAAGACTTATGACTACAAGTGGACGGAATTAAAGAAATAACTTTTTACACTTAAAGGCTCTCTAACTACTACTCGAATTAATAAAACCGGCTCAAGTCTTACTATCATAAGATGTGTGTCGTAAATGGTTTCCCTTCACTCAAACACTGGTGCAGCGTAAGCAGCAGTTCTTTAAAAGGTTAGGTGAGCGAAAAGCGGGTGGTATAAATATTTGATGCTGACACCGCTCTTAAAGTAAACAATGTCACCTTCAAGTTGTCTGTCATTCATACCACTGTCATCTGAACCGTCTTCTAGATCTGCCGGTATTTTGAAATCCCATCAATTAGCCTGTATGGCAATTGAACTCTCTAGCTATTGTTTAGGAAGTCTTAAAAATTGCTACGAAGCGTTTTCTTTTAATTGACAATCAAAGTGACATTCAAAGAACATTCAGTTTTATCACTTCTATTCAAGTCCTTTAAAAATGATGATACACAGGTATGTAGGCCTACAGTAGGCCTACCATAGCCCAAAGACCGTGCGTCTTTTAGATGCGAGATTGACAAGGCCCATGTCGCGTTCGTCTTTTACTGTGGATTTTTGAGCTTCAAATGGCTATGTTATAAAACTCGAAATTCACATGGTCATGTCTTGTCCGTCATTCACTGAGACCCATAGATGCGAAATTGACCATGCCTGCGCTGCATTTGGCTTATACTGTGCATCTAATAAAACAAGAAATTGACATAGACATGTTTATTTCGAAACTTGCTGGCTCCCATAAATCAAAATTACCTTGTGCCAAGTCGCATTTGTGCTTTTAAATAACAATGTTAAAAACACGAAATAGACATGGCTTGTGTGGTTTTCGCAGTCATGTCAATCTCGCATCTATGGAGTTCAGTAAGTGGCGAAACAGACATGTCATTTTTGGGGCTCAAAGCTCTCTAGTAAAAGACGAATGCGGCATGGGCCTTGTCAATTCCGCTGCTATAGGGATTAATAACATATGAAATAGTCGTTTTAGAATGTTAAGGGGCGTCTAAATGACGCACGCGCAGGCTCCTATGGGCCATGGTAGATATGCTCACGCATGTGATGATTTCTTAGCACTGATTTTTCTTTTCTTTCTCTGATTTCTCCAATTTCCTTCTTGGAACTTAAAGTATGTGATGCTACATGTCGGGGTCTTTCACCGAACAAGTCTCTGATTTAAAAATGGTGCACGGATGTCGTGCGAGTTGAAGTAAACATTGTTCATACGCAGTGTTAAGTCCACAGGGACAAATATGATCTTTGCATACTTTACAAACAACTGAAGACGAGACACCGGTGGAAAAATCAATACCAAATCAATCTTTTCTACAAGATTCTATAAAAAATATATATGTAGTCAAAAAAATTAATTCCCTCCTTGTGCTGTATATATATATTGTAGGAAAAACGCTGAAAATTTGTTCCGAGATCTTTCAGTCTAACTAAGCCCAATGCATTTTCTACATATACAGTATAAATGTGTGTGTGTATGTGTGTGTTAATATTTTAGACTCCGTTCACATGAAAAATCTATTTTCTAAAAATCTATTTTCTATTCGCGGTATCTTGTGATCACTCCGAGGACAGCCGAGAATTAATTACAGCTTTGGAAGTAACTGGCTCGTGCTGCCAGTAACTACGCCGCGGGGTATTCAGGGCACAGACCGTGATCACAAGATACCGTGAATAGAAAATAGATTTTTAGAAAATAGATCTTCCATGTGAACGGAGCCTTACTCTCATTTGAGCAATGATACAATAATCAGATGTACGAATTTAACTTTTTTTATTATAAATTTTGGTCACGCGCACGCAAACATTTGTCCAACGTTACAACTGAATGACGAATATCAGCAAAACCCGTTCAGCTGGATTTAGATTGTCTTTGAACTAATCCTACTGAGTATAGGACGTACGCGCTGACTTAATTAAAAACACATAAAACAGACCGAGAAGTGCCACTCCAAAACAACGACCTGTGCAACAATATCAATACCAGCTGCTGCAGATTCCAAGAATCGGATCAAAATCACATGTATAATATAATGAAAGTAAACAGGCCGAACCCTGCTTGGAATTGAGAGAGCCGCCGGGAACGGTCAACAGAGATAAAGGTGACTGAACCGAAGCTTAAAATAAATATGTGAAGTAATTACTTTAGATAAGATGCAGCTCCAAGGACCCAGGAAGTTGGCATGAAAAACTGAGCTGACTGTTTATTTGTGAATAATTTTTTTCTTTATTTTAATATTTAGATAAAATAAAGGGTCAAACTTCTAGAGCTAAGGGTAATTTAAGTATGTCGTGTTACTTTTGTACTGTTATAAGATATTAAATATCCATATATTCTGAAAAACCAAAATATCAATTTTAGCATGATACACATATTCACGATCACAGTCAATTTTTTCGTATTTGTCTTTAGTCAATTTTTACATTGGTAGGGTGGTTATGGGCCGAACCGTACGTATATACACACCGTTTCTACTCCTCTTACCCCAGTTCAACCCCTAACCCCATCAACCCCCTTGTTACACCCCCTACAACACGCAGGCCTACCCAACTACCAGCCTCGGCACCGAATGATCCTGAATTCACCAGTAGATCAGGCCGCATCACCCGTTTTCAAGTTTGCC